CTTTATTGACTACGATACTCATTGTCAAAGTCTTGGTCATAATAAGGGTGATGGTTATTATTATTAGTATTTAAATAATAAAAGAGCCCGTTTCCTCATATATTAACTATATTAATATTAGTCGATATTAATTAGGTTAAATATGAGAAGTTATGTTGGGGTATCTCCTACATCTTCATGGACAAAACCAAGGCACAGTTGTGGAGAGGGTGGGTAGTTTAAGAGTCACAGGGTCTCCTCTCTGCTTTATGCAGATGATGTTGCATGTAGACTGTTATTACAGTAGCTGGGTAGAAAGCCTGAGTTGCACACAACAACAGCAGTTGCGGTAGTTAAAGTTCAGCTGTTACAATTGATTTTTTGTTGTAATATGTAAAAAACTACTGTAGATACCGCATAGCGGTAGCATAATGACCCCCGCACGCACAAATGTACCAGAACTCAGGAGTCTTATACCTAATAAATGTCATGCTACTAGGTGCATTCCAAAATTGTAGTGGTTTGGGGGGTGGGGGGTGGGGGGTGTTGGACCTGAAGGATAGCCCCTCATCAGAGCTAAACAACCAAAGAAATCTGAAGCTCTTATGTTTAATACTTTTTTGAGCTGTAACCATTTTTTGCCATTTTTGTATGTCCAGAAACCCCTTTTTCAGATAAATTGGGGGTCCGGGGGGGTGGGGGCACTGATTGGTGGGCCTGATGGATAGAGCTTCATTGGAGCTAAACAACAAAAGAAATCTGAAGCTTCTATGTTGAACAGTTTCTGAGTTATAAGCAATTTTGCATGTCCTGACAACCCCTACTTTGAAAGGAGCCCCCCTCCTCAAATATGGGGTCTATCATAAAACCGTTGGCTGGTGCAGTGTAGGTCAGACTCATCTACAGTCCTGCCAAATTTCACGTTGATTGGTGCAGACGTTTTTGTGGTATGGTTGACCAAAAATCACTGAAAAAAATAATAAAAAAATTAACAGTACAAAAACAATATGACTCCCGCTTACAGTTCACGTGCGGGGATCATTATAAGGTTACTTAAATGGAAACGGAACTGATTTCTGGCTGTCATTAGCAGTACCGTCGTGACTGAATAATCCAGCGAAGAATGGAACTTCCACATCAGCTTAAAAATGGAACAGCTTCATCAGCAAGCTCCAGAACAGGTGAGTAAATGATGGCTCCTCCCCTGCCACTCAAGATCTGGAAGGTGAGTAGAAACCCGCATACCAACAAAGCAACACAAATACAAAACTCCACGAAAGTGCTTTACACTTACAGGCATTCACACACTGATGGTGGTAAGCTACAGTGTAGCCACAGCTGTCCTGTGGCACACTGACAGAGGTGGGGCTGGCATGCACCAGACCTTCTGACCACCATTGGTAGGGAAGGTGGGTGAAGTGTCTTGCCCAAGAACACAACGACTGAGATGTCTGGAACAGGGGATCGAATCGGTAACCCTCTGGTTATGGGACGACTCCCCTGACTACTCCGCCACTGCTGCCCCATAACTGTTTTAAAACCATACCTGTCCCGGTTTCCTCATTTCCTCATATTATTTGCACTGAAAATAGGCAATTTCTGATTCATAAAGTCAGATTCTGATAGTCCACTGTCTCTAAAACAAAAACATATATTTTTCTATTCTTTCACAATTGTTTATATTATTGTTTTATTTTATTATCAGCAGTTTCATGGCTAGTCAGTATTAATTTTGTTTTGTGTGCATTGTCTATAGTTTGTAAAGTAACTAGTGTGTGAACCTCTGTACGGATGCTGCTGTGACACCTGAATTTCCCTTCTTCGGGACAATAAAGGCAATTTGTATTCTTTTCTATTCCGTTTCATCTTGATAACATTTCTTTTCTTTTCTCCAAGCTGGAAATGTCTCTGGATTTAATTTCAGAAATCTGGTCAGTTTACTTGTGAACCCCCAGAACGACACCAAAACGTCTGACTCTAGCTCAATTTAACTGCAAAACAGGAAATGTTGTTTCATAGTACAACCCTCAGGTGTGTCCTATAATTGTTTTCACATTGTTAATATGTTCTCATTATACTGTAGCCACCAAATGTTGTCAACAGACCTAAACATGTAGAAACGTGCGTACGCTTGGAGGCTGTGAATGTTTCCAAGTTTGTTTCATTATTGATACATCCTGAATTTAGTGTGGAAAAGAGCATTTGCCACTTTGTTGTGCGTTTGCACCCTTTGTAGATGGTAAATGGACTGTACTTGTATAGTGCCTTTCTGTCCATCCAGGACACTCAAAGTGCTTCACAATAAATTCTGTATCCTCATTTACCCACTCACACAGAACTCTATTAGGTCTCTACAAAGCTAGCATGTACAATCATCTATGGAGACTAATCAGTGCCAATCACATTCATACACTGATGGGACACACATCAGAGGAATTAGGGTTGAAGTGTCTTGCCCAAGGACACAACTGAGACAGCTGGACTGGGGATCGAACCGGTTCCAGGACGACTCCCCAAACCACTCTGCCACAGCCGTCCCAAGATGAGGACTCTGGTGCTTGTCTCCAGCAGCCATTGGGCAAAAGTTGAGCTATACCCTGGACAGCCCACCAGCCCACCACATGACCACACAAAGAGAAACCAGACAGACAACTATTCACTCAGTGACCACTTATAGTCACGAGTTAACCTCACAACTCATTGCCACGAGTCCAACCCAGGATCTTTATCATGGGTGTTATGCCCTTACAGGCCAGTTTATTCGGTGTTGGACTCCCTTTTGCTGTCAGAACTGTTGTATTTTGCAGACCTTGGTTGGAACGAATAGTTATTTGAGCTGCTGTTGCCTTTCTTTCATTTGAAACTACTCTGCCCATTCTCCTCTGACAATAAAGCATTTTCTAAACAAATGCTGCTCACTCGGTATTTGCTCTTTTTCAGACCATTCTTTGTAAAACCCTACAGATTGTTGTGGTGAAAGTTCCAGTAGATCAGCAGTTTCTAAAATACTCAGCTGCCAGTTTTGCACCAACTACCTAAAATAAACTGAACTCCCACTCTGATGCTCACTTTTATTACATCATAACATTTTCACCACATCTAGTTAACTTGCTGTTATGTGATTGGCTGATGAGTTATTGGTGTTCAGAAGCAGCTGAACAGGTGGACCTAAGAAAGAAACGGCTGAATATATATCTCCAAAGGTTTTGGTATTAAAGGTTCCTCCCCATCTGTTAAAACTTTTATAGTAAGGTGTTATCTTTACTGTCTTTCGTGACAAACTAAATTATATCTTCATTTATTCAAGCACTGATCACTGAGAACGTTGGGCGATAAGGCTCTCTCCACCCTTAACTCACTTTCACTCAACAGAAGCAGAGACCTTGAGTGTATTTGTCAACCCTGATGCACTATCAGGCTGCAGTCTTTCAGTAACGCTGTCCATGGACTTTAGTCAAGGCCATCTCTCACACACATAGAATGCATGGAAGTCAATTTCCTAGAGAGATGCCAAAATGATAACAACCCAAATATTAGAATACTTATTTGAAATTATTTTGAAAAATAAATTATTCAAATATAATTTGATTATTACTTTACATAAATTGCCTGCTGATATTGCGTACTTTTGTTTTATTTGTTTGTAGAGCTTCTCTTTTTACTGTATTACTACATTTATTTGAAGTTTTGCTTCTATGTAAATATTTTTCAACAGCTAATAAACCCAGTTCCCCCTGGGATGAAAAAGATCTTCTGATTTTAGCTCAGTGTCCAAAGATAAGCTTAGTTTTGTTGTTGTTTTTTCCACATGTACAATCATACAAAAATCATGAGAAGTGAACACAGAATAAAAAGAAAATGAAAAATTAGGAGACAATTCACTGGATTAATCAGTTGCAGATCTACACGCAGTCTTTCTTCTCCGAAAGTTTCACGTAATCAGTCTGTTGTGCAGCTCATGATATTTTGCCAACAGAGTTGTTTGCAAAGTTTTATGTCCAGATCTCATGTGGTCAGTTAGTGCTCCGTGTTGCGGATGACTCTCAGCCACCACCACAACAAACTTCAGCTCACAATCTGTAAAAATGAACTGAATAATGACCATTTTTTGTCTTTTCTAACACTTTACTCCAAAAGTTAATCAGCTGCAGATGTATTTCCAAAGATGGTTTCCTGAAACTGGTGAACCCATCCTCGCTCTGCTTCTGTCTTCTGAGGGGGGGAAACCAATATCCCTTTGTTTTCCTGTGTTCTCGTGAAGAACCTTTGTCAGCAGTGGGATGCTTTCTGCAGAACCACTTGTGTAGAAAGCCCGAGTTGATCTTTACATAATCTGTGACCTGTGAAAATGTGCTGCCCCTTAACTCCACCCTTGTGTCCACCCCTCAGGAGAGAGGAAGGAGGTGTATAAAAGCTGGCTCCTGCTGCCTGCTCTAACACAAAGCACACTGGGTCTTCACAAACACACACACACACACACACACACACACACACACACAACACACACTGAGTGTTACCGGAGCAGAACAACTTCATGTAACCTTCCTCTGGAGTTGTTCACTATATAAAAGTGGATTCCGGACATAAGATTTGATGTGAAACACCTGCACCTGCTCACGAGTCACTGTTTTGGACCTTGTTCTAATCAACATCATCATCACGATGATGATATGCATCGCTTTGATCTGGGGAGTTGTTGTAGGATTTTGCTGCCTCCTTTGGCTTGCTTTGGGGATTCGGCGCAGGTAAGACTTGGTCCGTTTATTTATTTATTTTAGTTTTTCATTTTATATAATAAAAAAAATCTTTAAATCTGAATCAGGTCCAAAAAAATTTAAAGATAATCTTTGAAGAAATCAACAAAATAAGCTTTTTCTGACATCTTTTGAAGCTTATTTTGGTTGGAAAGTGTTTGCTCTAAATGTTTATTCAAATAAAATATCTAATTCTGCAGATGTGAAGATGAATTTATATCTTATTGTCATAAGAACTCATCTGTCACTCTGCCCAGACTGGATCATTAAACTCTCACAGGAAAAACAGGCAGCTGTTTCGCCTGGTTGGGTTGTCAGGCAGTTTATTTAAATAAACTGCTTTCAGTGGCAATAAGTGTAAAATATTTCAATAATGGAAGAACATTTTAAACTCAGAGCAGTTATTGCATCAAATGATAAAATGTTTTGAAAATAGAAGAAATAAAGTTTCTCTGCTGTCAAATATATGATAAAAATTAAAATGATATTAGTGAAAAATTAAATTAGAACAAATTTAGACAAATTTAAAAATACTCAGTGCAGATTGGTAGCAAACATATTATGGACAAATACGTTCCAGGTATAAAGTAAAATAAAAGTAGGACAATTGCTCGCTGAAGGAGTTTGCTGAAATTTGCTAAAGAAGTTAAACTGAGCTGTTCAAACAAGCAGAATAGATTAAAATAAGAAGAAGGTAGGATGAACGCAGCAGAAAAGTAGCTTAAAAAAGGAGCCAAACAGTGGCTAAATTTAGTCAAAGTGATGCTAAAATTTACCAAACTGTAGTTTTGATTAAACTAGCTAAAAACTAAAAGTAGAATGGTTGTTTAGAAAACCTAAAAAGTTATAATAACCATAAGTCAGCACACCGTTTCTTATTTAGCTGAATGTTTTGATATGTAAATGGTTAAAACAGCCCAAAGTATTCTGAAATAGCTTTACTGTGAAAATCCTACAGCAGAGACTGTAAACAGTAAAATAATGAATGCTGACTCAGCATTCACCCACTGCTTAAACTTTACTCTATATTACTGTGACTCAACACAATAAAACACAGAATCATTTTTATTACCATGAACATTTGCATAAAAGGTTATTTCATTCAGTGTCTCAGTAGAAAATAAATATAAAGTTTTCAGACTTATAAAGTTACCGAAAGAGTCTTGGTAATGACACAGCGGGTAAGAAGCTGTTTCTGTGGCAGGACGACAGACAGCAACTGATGGCTGAATTTCTGGAGTGAATAGCCAAGAAACAAAAAGTGATAAAAATCATGTTTTTGTTTCATTGACATCTACAGAAAACCAGGTGAACCTGCGGTGGAAAATGGTTTCATCCCCTACCTGGGCTGTGCTCTGCAGTTTGGGGCCAACCCTCTTCGGTTCCTCCACAGCCGTCAGAAGAAGCACGGCCAGATTTTTACCTGCAAGATCGCAGGCCAGTACATCCACTTCCTGTGTGATCCCTTCTCTTACCATACAGTCATCAGGCAGGGGAGACACCTCGACTGGAAGAAGTTCCACTTTTCTATATCTGTTAAGGTGAAAGGTTGTTGTTAATTAAATTGTAATTTAAGACTTACTGAAGCAGGAAGTTACTTAATGTTTCTCTGTTTTCTGACACCAGGCCTTTGGTCACGAAAGCTTTGACCCTCAGCATGGTTACACCACAGAAAACCTCCACCAAACCTTTATGAAGACCCTGCAGGGGGAAGCTCTGACTTCTCTGATAGAGAATATGATGGGACACTTACAGGATGTCATGCTGAAGTCAGACACTCTGGGCTCCAACAAAGACCACTGGCAGGTGGATGGTATCTTTGCTTTTTGCTACAAGGTTAGTAACCAGAACATTTAAATCCCATGAATTTCAAGAACCAGATGAGTGAACTAGAAAAGTGTTCCTGTCTTTCTAAGTGTCTCTCTTCACCAGGTTATGTTTGAATCTGGCTACCTGACGCTGTTTGGTAAGGAGCTGGGAGATGACAAGTGTCAGGCTCATCAGGAAGCACAAAAAGCCCTGGTCCTCAATACTTTGGAGAACTTCAAAGAGTTTGATAAGATTTTTCCAGCACTGGTGGCTGGCCTGCCCATCCACGTCTTCAAGAGTGCCCACAGTGCAAGAGAGGTTATTTAAGTTTATTTATCTGATGGTACTGATGACATTTGTATTCATAAAAGAGCATTTGGATTAAATTGGCTTTTTTATGTTTAGAATCTAGCAAAGACAATGTATGCTGAAAACCTGTCCAAGAGGCACAACATGTCTGATCTGATCTCCATGAGGATGATCCTGAACGATTCCTTATCCACTTTCAATGACGTGAGCAAAGCTAGGACCCATGTGGCCCTGCTGTGGGCCTCACAGGCCAACACTCTGCCTGCTACCTTCTGGAGCCTCTTCTATATGATCAGGTATTGCCTTACTTCTCTTTTTGAAAAAGTCTAAACACGAACTAAATACATTTTCTGTAAAAATACATTGTGAATGCTGACTGATGAAATAAAGTTGTAACCATTGTGTTTTAACAACTACTGTACTATCCAATAATAGTGTTGGTATTTAGGAAACTAGCACATTGTTACTATCACACTGAAGACTTGTTTCTTTATTGGATAAAATAAAATCAGTCATGTGACATGAGCAAACAGGATAAACATCAGTATTAACAGGTCCTCTGTGTAATCAGGAGTCCTGGTGCTTTAAAAGCAGCCTATACAGAAGTTCAGACGGTTCTGAAGGACTTGGGTTTGACTGCCGACCCCGATGGACCCATGCTTAGTCTGACCAAGAACCAGCTGGACAACATGCCTGTTTTAGGTAAGATAACTCATACAGATGGTAAATGAGACAGTAAAAATTGTTATGACATGATCATAGATGTTGGCAAAAATACAATTCAAAATGCAGTTAAACAATGAATATTTGATTAAAAGGTACTGATAAGGATGCAGTTAAAAAAGTAAATTGTATAGATACTGGTAAGGGTAGAAATACGGAATATAGAGACACGGACATGGGTTTTAAAACCCATGCAACTTAAGACAAGAAAAAGAAGGCATGGTTAAAATATGATATATATTATATATAAAAATGTCCAAACAAGTTAGGATGAACAGCAATAAATCATGGTGTCATATGCATACAAGGATAGAAAACATTTGATAAAATATTACACAAATCTATGATGCAAGTTAGAAATAAAAATCGATCCCAACACTGAACCTTGGGGTACACCTTTGACAACATCCAGATAGTAAAACATGGATCCTGTCACCTGAACGCGTTAAGTCCTGTTGGTCAGATGGTTTACAAACCAGTAAACTGCATGTTTTTGATAACCAATGTGGATATTTATCAGTGGACAGTGATTGACCATGTCAAATGTTTTGGAAAAGTCAATAAAAAGTGCAACGCAATATTTCCTACAATCCAAAGCCTGTATAAAATAATTTAAATTTTTAAGGGCATTTGAGACAGTACTATGATGCTGTATGGATAAAATGTTATTTGACTCTTAAAATGTATTTATTCGATTACAGATGGGCCATTGGAACAATATAGCTAATATAACACAAGATGATTTCCAGACTTTAGGCTAACTTACTACATTTTAACTTAGATTTAAATGTTAAAGTCAAGTTTATTTATACAGCACATTTAAAACCAACAATGTTGACCAAAGTCACATTGATAAAATATGCGAGAGGTTCTCTAATAAAATCAGGAGCCAGCTTTAGAAAAAAAAAGTTGAGTTATATCAGAAGACTGACTATTTACTGAAGACTTTTTTCAGTTTTGTCCATTAGTAATCTTAATTTCAAAACCAGGCACAGACACAAGCTCAAATAAGGCGGCGATAGGATCATTCTTTGTCTGAAGTTATTGGTTAATTTCCACCAAATCAGCATTAGTCAGTTCAGAAAGCAATGATTCAAACAAGGAACCAGCAGAAAGTACCACCATAGCAGGAACCATCAGATCCAAACTCTGATTGCTGACTGGACACAGAAGGTGAAAAACAGAGCTGACATGATGATACTGACGAACATGGTTAAAAAGTACAATTAAAGATTGTGGTCTGGACCATTGAAGCTAAATGTTGTGTTTCTTCTGTTTGTAGACAGCATCATAAAGGAAGCCATGCGTCTGTCCAGTGCTTCCATGAATGTTCGAATCGCCAAAGAGGACTTTCTGCTTCACCTGGACAACAAAGAAGCTTATCACATCAGGAAAGACGATGTCATTGCCTTGTATCCTCCCATGGTTCACTTTGATCCAGAGATCTATGAGGATCCCTATGTAAGTAATAATAATAATAATAATAATAATAATAATAATAATAACAATAATAATAATTTTATTTATAAAGCGCTTTCAAAGAAAGTGCTGAACAGTTACAAAAATACAAAAATCAATATAAAAGTTGTAAGAACAAGTAAAACAAAAAAAGATAAAATACAAATGTAAAATTTAAGACACATAGGACAAGGTGTACAGGTAGGTCTTTAGTTTAGCTTTAGCCACTGAGCAGGCCAGCCTGATGTCTTGAGGGAGATCATTCCACATTAAAGGGGCACAAAAGAAAAAAGCACGACCTCCGATAGTTTTTTGATATCACCCATTATTAATGGTAGAAATGATTATTTACTGTATTTTTCTAATTCTATTCTTCTCGCCCTGCAGGAGTACAAGTTTGACCGCTTCCTGGACGAGAACGGTCAAGAGAAAACCACGTTTTACCGTAATGGCCAGCGGCTGCGTTACTACCACATGCCCTTTGGCTCCGGGGTCACAAAATGTCCTGGAAGATTTTTCGCTGTGTGTGAGATCAAGCAGTTTCTGACTCTGATGCTTTCGTATTTCGACATGGAGTTATTAGACCCTGCCATCAAAGTTCCTCCTTTGGACCAGTCTCGAGCTGGTATGGGAATCCTGCAGCCCACCTACGATGTAGACTTTAGGTACAAGCTGAAACCGAAACACTAGTCTCGGTCTCTGATGGGCAGAATCTCTGGATGATTTCCTGTAAATAGTGTACAGTAAAACACCTGATCGGGTCTGTAAATAAAGTGAATATTTGTTTTGTTTGGTTTAAATGTGATGTTAAAGACATGCTTTGGATTTTAAAAAAGGTATGAACCTTTAGAAATAATCACAAGTCGTTTTAAATAAACTTTGGAGTGTTTTACAAAGTGTAACGTTTTAATAAAAAAAGTAAAAAATTTGAAGCCTCAAAGGAGCCTGGAGAAAAGAATTTATCAGACCTAAGAAACTAAACATTTTGCTCTAAACTGCAACATTAAAATGATTAGCAGTGGTAGAACATCTGTGTTAGTATTTTCCATATAAAATGACTGTGACTGTAGGGTTCAACAGAAAGTATTAGCTCAATGGTTGGTGACGATTGGAGACTTGTTGGAAACTCAAAATTATGAGAAGAAATGGTAAATTTTCAGAGTCTGTGACAAGAGTAGTTTTTTTTTTAAAGATTATGGCCAATTTTCATAGACTTTTTGGAAAACCATTCCTGCTAAAGCACATTACTTTGCTGACCACTTCTGCCTCCAATCACACTCATCTTGGCTTGTTTTGTACCTATCTTTGCACCCGCTTGACATTTAGAATGTCATCTGCTGGAGTACTGTATGTGTTTCAAATGAATGTAGACCAGTTTTACAATTATTTTATGTCAAACTGTTGTTACTGCACATATAAGAGTGTTTTATTATTTTATAATCTTTATTTAACCAGCTAAGCTTGAACGAGATCACAGATCACACAAATCCAGATAAGGGTTTGACTCAAGATCTGTTGTGGCCTCCCTGGTGAGTGTCTTTTACCAACAATCACAGTCCAATCAATTACTACTGCTAGCAGTATAGCAGCAGTAC